CAAGGAGCACAGAAGGCAAAATCAATGAGCGGAAATTACATAAATGTGTTCGACCAATGTGACAACAATTCAACCGAGCTAAATAATAGTGGTAAAGGCTAAAGTTATGAAAATACCAAGTTTCATTAAAAGTAGAAGAAGGTTGATGGCCATACATATACTATAAAAATACTCTCTCAATAGTTCAAACATTAACAGGGAACAAGCCCAAGAAGAACTTACAGGAGCACACCCGCTCATGGAACAATAGAAGATCACCACCAATAGACCAGCCGAGCTACTCGTTGTCACCGCCCTAGACATCGTCGTCATCGCCCTCCTCATCCCCTTCCTTGCCGTCATCCTCCTCCTTCTCGGGGTCAAGGGCTCCTCGTCCACCTAGGTAATGAGGTCACCTGATACATTACGCATGGAGGAAGAACCAAAGTCGAAGGAAGGATGTAGCACCTTCAAATAGTGGCGACATAGCTTGAAACCCTTCTTCATTGAAGGGATGCCGTCCTCCGCCCTCTTTTTCTCGTACTTCGATGACTCCAAGAAGTGAGCAACAACCTCCTCCCCAGCTCGGAGCAGATCCTAAGCATACTTTGACCACCCCTCCTACAGTTGAGCCTGAGGCTCTTCCAGCCCGCGTTGTGCCTCGGTCAGCTCGCACTACAACTTCTGGTTCACCTCATAAAAGCGTTGACAGTCCTCCTCAGAATCGACCCGAAGCTTCTGCATCTCAACCTGAAGCGAGTTGATGCTTGCTTGCATGCTAAATCTTCCTTGCCCGAATGAATGTAATCCAACAAGACTTGCCTGAAAGGGTTTTCCTATAAAAATCACAATCGGAATAAGATACTTTACAAACAAAGACAAAGAATCTATAAAATGACAAACCTGGATGCTGCACTAGGTCATCCGAGCTCCAACATCGGTGAAGTCTAACTCGCTGTAGTGGCACACATCCTCAAGGAGGAGCATACCCCTAGCTACCCAGAGAGCTACACGAGGGTTGTTCGTGCAATCAAGTAGTGGCGCACATCCTCAGGGAGGAGCATACCCCTAGCTACCCAGAGAGCTACACGAGGGTTGTTCGTGCAATCAATCACTGAGACATCGACGACGTGGGGAACAAAGGGAGTAGGGAACAAAGGGAGGAATGTCCTTGACATAGGGGCCGACCTCGTGCTCCTCCTGGCCGACTTGAGGTTGGAAGGTGGCAGGGCCTAGGTACTGATCAATGCACATCGTTCGCCGTCTCCCTCTAGGTTGACGATGGGAGGGGTGGAGCTAGGAATCCTCACCTCGGCACTGGCCAAGGTCCCCTTCGTAGAAGAACGATGATCTGCCCTCTGCTTCTTCTTGGACGACCTCTTCTCTTTGTCAACCACCATCATGGAAGCCAAGCTCGCCATATTGGAAGAAAAGACAAATAGTTAGACCGCCAAACTAGATGCGAAGGAAATACAAAAGTGTAGATGCCATGCCCCAATGGCCCACTTACCTACATGACTCAGGCCAGCCTGTACAAGCATGTGCTCGGCCAAAAGCCTCTCTACCTAAACCTTTTCATGGACGAGCTCCTGAAGCGCGGCCTGTAGCTCAACATCTTTGCTCTCAGCAACACTCTGACAATTACTATACTAGACGATGTCCACACCCCAGCCACCGTCCTTAGCAAGAAAGAAAAAGTTTTTCTTCCACCCCTTAACTTTGTTGGGGAAATCTACTAGTACCTTCCTCCCGCTGCGAAAGGGAAGACAGAAGCAGAAGGGACCCGAGATTTTTTTCATGTGAACCAAAGAAGAGAAGACCTCAAAACTCAATGGAAAGTTATGATGGTGGCACAAGCTGATCAGCCCCACCAAAGTTCAGACTGCATTGGAGGCGAGCTGACCGAGAGATATATGATAACGCCTCAAGACAACAATTATGAAAGGATGAAGGGGAAGTGAAGACCAGTAGCCAACGTCTCCTCATAGACAGATAACACGTCATGGTCATGGTCCCAAGGATAGTTGTCAGCATTCGGCTCGATCCATCTATACTCATTAAGGATTTGGTACCTCTAACATAGCTCGACTATTTGCTCCCCAGACAGCTCGGTCGGGCCGAACATATCTATGACTTTCTCAACCTCATGCCTCTTCCCCACCAAAGCATCAGCACAATACACTCCATATGAGTCCTCCCCCAAGGAACTCACCTCGCTATCTAACCTATGATCGAGTAGCCTACCTCTAGATGGACTATCAGACTTTACGAAGACCAGGGTACTCACTGGAGAAATGAAAGAAGATTGAAGATGGCGATGGAGGAACTCGGACCAATAGAGAGTGGAGCTCAGACTAACAAACCAACTCAGCTCACAACCTCCTCTGACCAGGCACCACCCAAAAAACTTCAAAAGAGAAATAGTGTGTCGGGACCTCGGTGGGGGACCCCATATTTATAACCTGGAAAGTGAGAAGATCGACGGTACAGGTGTGCCTACAGCTGGGTTACAGCAAGCAGCACGCACAAAACGTTTTCAAATTCCAAAATTCGTGCGCTCAATGGGCGCGACCTTTTCAAAATTCGAAAAGTTGCACATGCACAAGTCATGCGACTCTTTGAAAATTTTCCCCGCACTCTCTCTCCTCTCTCCGAATTCAAAGTCTGAAAGAGAAGCCACGGTCCACCCAACCTCAAATCGAGCTAATAAAGTGAGCCAAAAGACCTACGAACTAACCAGACCAATTACCCCCACTAAGAACTACTCTCTTCATCGAGCCGACACTAGCTCGAGAGTGGGGGGCAATTGATGAGGGGTAATTTGGTCCTCTCAATCAAATAGTGACACATGGCCTCTGGTCGACACCTCGGGACCGAGTCAGCAAACCAAGTCGACAAATTTAGCTCGGAGCACCTCGCCCAGGCCAACCTCCACCTCAGCAAGACCATAGATCCTGTAAGATTACAATAAACTAACCTAGGAGTCGATCGAGCTAAAGAGATTCAAGGTGACATGCAAGAGAAAGCTCGCTAACCACCCCTTGTAACACGCCGGTGTCTCGACTGTCAGAATGGTCCGCTGTGTCGTACGCCTCGACTTTACTCTAGTAGACTGTAACCTCCACAAGGATCTCACAATTAACACATTAGCACGCTAGATAAAACGGAAACAGCTCCGTAGGGTGCTCAGATCCGTTACCCTGAAGGCCTTGAGCCCTACGACATATAAAAAGCACCCAATCCCACTTGAAAATGTATGCGCACTGAACTCTCTAAATCTCTCAAGAACCCCCAAACATCTTCTGACTTAAGCACCGGAGTGCCCTCCCTGGGTAAAAGACACCCGGGCACTCTAACTGTCTCTCTTGCAGAATGAAACAGCTCGGTCATCTCTAGCTCAGCCTAGAATAGCTCGGCCTAGCCTAATAGACATCCGAGTCGGATCCGAAGTCATCAGACACGGGGGAGCTTCCAAATTGCATGACATCATTAAGCAATCAAAAAGATGGGAGAATTGGGTTATAAATGATGGCATTGGTAGGGGTGATCATTTCAATCTGGCTCAAAAATTTCGGGCTTGGGCCTGGGTTTTGTGTTCAGGCCTGGCCCAGCCCCAAGCCCACATAAGGCTCGCAAATTTTAGGGTCAGGCTTGGGCTTAATACTTCGAGCCCAGCCCGACCCACATATATTTAAACTTACACATTTTGTGTATAATGTATACATATGTATACCTGTTATTTTACATTATATTATATATATATAAATATTATAACATGACATGTATAATTTATATTATATGTAATATTTTATATTATATAATATATAAAATAAAAGTTTATATGCATGTTATGTCATTTAATATAAAATATTATAGATATGTAATGTTTTATATATGAAAGACATTGGCCTGGAATTAGGCCCAGTCTGGGCCCGTGTAGACCTGGGTGAGGGCTTATGTTACAGGCCTGAAACCCTGGACCTAAGCTATAGCCCTTATTATAAGTGCAAAGCCTAGCCGGCCCGATCCAAATCACCCCTAGGCATTGGTATAAACAAACTTAGATATTTGAAGATCAAATCTAAAGGAAGGAAGAAGAAACAATAATCAATAGCAAATTAAGAGAAGAAAGAAATCATCTTCGACTTACACTTTGAACGGGTGTTTGAGGTCGGATGTCTACTTGACCTTGACGGAAACCTTTTTCACCCATCATTAGAGAAAGATCCTAAACAAGAACAATAACAGATTTAGTGAGTGGGAGGTAGGCCTATTCATGGGCCGGGTAGTCCGACAGGTTGGCCAGCCTGACCCTTCTTAAATCGGGTTTAGATAAAATTTTAAGCCCGAAAATTTGGACTCAGGCTCTAAAAATCGGGCCTGACTATTTTTCGAGTTGGGATCGGGCTTTCGCAAATAAGCCCAGCCTGATAATATTAAATATATAACAAAAATATAATATATATGCTAATAATACATAATATATATTATATAATAATAAAATTAATAGCAAAAAGGTATTACATATATTAAATGTATAAAATATAATATATAAAATATCATATAATATAATATATAATTAATATGTTATAAAATACCTATCAAATTGAGTTTCGGGCTTTATATAGGGCTAGATTTAGTCTCAAGATCTAGGCCCAATGGTTGGATCATGTTCGGATTCGGGTCCAGTAATTTTCTATTTAAAAAGAAGCAAAATCCGACCCGAATCCGACCCATAAACACAAGAACGAAGGAGTGAAAGAGTATCTTAAGAGAAGAATGGAGGGCTTTTTAAATCAGGGCATTTTGATCCCAACAGACATTTTTGTTGCCGCGAACTACCCCCGTGACAGCTCGCTGTTTTTGCAATTTTTTTTTGAAAATGTATCCGATTTTGTTAATATGCAAAACTTTATTAATTTAATTTTTATGGATAAAGCAAAGCTGATCTTAGAAGTGAAAAAATGATGCTGCAAAGACTTGAAACCGGAAAAATCTAAAAAAACGGATGTGCAAAAGGTTCCTTTTATAAAACAGTTGCGAAGTAGAGGTTGTTGTACCTCTTCTCCGTCCATGACCAAACGATGATGGATATTTTTTCAATCTCTTCCACACACCAGTGTCACTCCTCACCCTTCTCTCCCTCCACCTTCGCCGGAAAATCCCAGTCATTTCCTCTCACCCTTAAACTATCGAATAAATTCTCTCCGGAATCTGAGACATCTGCCAACCCTTCCCGCCTTTCTGATAACGTCCGCCGCCCCAAAACACTCAAATCTCCCCCCGCCAAACCCAACCCTCTACAGTCTAGAATCTCCACCAACCCACTACGGAATTTCACAGGTCCATCCAAAACCTCTCAAAATCAAGACAACCTCGCAAACAAACTATGGCTTTCCAGCAAAATCTCTCCTCCTCCTCCTCCCCCGCCGGCGCCAATAGAAGAAGCGGTTCCAGTTATTGATGGGGAAGACGTAAAAGATGAATCTTCAGCCAATGCAGGCTCTGAGAGTACCTCGGCCCCTGAATTAAGGCAAGAAGGTAAAATATTTGTTGGCAACCTACCCCTCTGGATTAAGAAAAACAAAGTTGCAGAATTTTTCCGGCAGTTCGGGCCCATTAAGAATGTGATACTGATAAAAGGCCATGATGATCCCGAGAGGAATGTTGGCTATGGCTTCATCATTTATGGTGGCCCAACATCTGCGAACTCAGCTTCAAAGGCAGTGGAGTTTGACGGTGTGGAATTTCATGGGAGGATTCTGACCGTGAAGTTGGACGATGGGAGGAGACTGAAAGCAAGGTCAGCGGAGAGAGCGAGATGGGTGGCTGGGTCAGACGGAACAGAGTATAGGTCTAAGTGGCACGAAGAGAGGGACATTTCCCGCAGGGAGTTCAGGAAGGTTCTTGAGACTGAACCGGAGAATTGGCAGGCTGTTGTTCAGTCCTTTGAAAAGATTAAGAAGGTAGGTTATACTGAAAGGATTTTGTAGTATACTTTTGAATGCGAAACTTGATTTCATTAAGACGGGACAGGACATGTCTGGGTGCTACTTGTACAATACGATAGTTATTTTTTTTCCTTTTTTTTGAGAATAATTCTATAATAGCGTCTTTTCTTTCTTGGTTCTTGGTAGTTGATAACTGTACAACTTATATGAATATGAGTAGCTTTTCGTCTTGGTTCATTGTAGTTTGAAAGGTTCCAATTGCAAGCTATTTTGAATTGTCAACATTTTAGGATTCCTACCAATCTGTGACAAGTTTTAAACTCAAATTTCATTATTCGGATGAATTTCCAGATTTTTTTATATACTTGCTAATTCAATCACCTTATGGACATAAATTACGTAGGACTATTATAATGCAATGATGCAGGGGATGCTTGCATCATTCTTTATTTTACTTTTAATTTTATTAATAGAATGATTGTGATTGATTCTCTTATCTGTTTCCATACAAGTGGGATGTATTTTCTTATTCTTTATGTTGGCTCCTCTTGGCTTCCTGCCACTACTGACATTGGAAAACCCAAAATGCAGATAGGTAATACCATTTGTATTTCTGAAAGATATGTTCCTTATGTAGCTTATTCATGTAAATTTTGAATATGATAGAGAATTTCTTAGAACAAACTAGCATTGTATGAGTGATATTTTAGCAACAGTATCAAAAGGAGATGAGGTTTGTAGTGTTTTAATAAAAAAAATTGTTTAAATAGAAATATGGCATGTTATTATGAAATTGTGTCTGTTCGTTAGTGTGCTTGGGTTTCAGAAAATGAAGAGCCCTTGCTATATCACCTTTTTTGCCCAAAAGCCAAAATACTATACGTGGTCTAGTATTCTGACCATTTAGCATATTTAGAGTCTGAAGATATTTATTTTATTATTTATTAGGAGAATTCTTGAGTTCACAATATAAAATTGGAAAGATCTCAATCAAAAACTCAAATGTCGTTCATTACTAGATTTGCGCCAGTTTAGTGCCATACTTAAAAACTCCAGAATTCTAATTTGACTCAAAGTTTAGCTTAGCAAACTAGGTATTGGTGTTGTTATTTTTTGGGATCTTTTTGTTAGATAACCACTAGATGCTTCTTTGCTATTTTTAACATAGTGGTAGGCATGAAAGGATAGAGAACAAGATTGCTGTCTTGTCCCCTGTTAAGAGAACTGTTGAATTTGCAAGAAGGCCTTTTAAATTGACAAGGAAAAACTTATAAATTCTCAATAGAAAACTTAGATTCAATGTAATGATAGGTTTATGCCATTACAGCACCATTTTTATAGACTCCAAATTTCTAGTTCAAAAATAGTAAAATTTACAAAAAATAAAACAGTAAAAATTCCTAATTTGACATTAAGTTCCCTAGCTAAATTTAAAACACACTCAACTCAATTCGATATGGTTAACTCAGTGAGTAGAGATTCAGATTCAATGGGTAAAGAGAAGTGCCAATTCTTTTGTGGATGCACTTGCTAAGCAAGGGGTGGGAAGGGAACAAATGTTCTGGCCTCCTAGGCTGGGTTGTAACCTGTTTTTTGTTTCTTGGGGAGGTTACCTCTTCCCCATAGCTTTCTGTTGTACCATGCTTAATTTTCATATTAATAAAATACTATGTTATTGATACTCAACTCAACTCCATTAAGCCTTGTCCCAACCATATGGGATTGGTTACATTCAAGGATTAAGGTATCGATACGATACTCCCGATACGAGGCGTATCGTATCCGTATCCATGACAATGGATACAGGATATGCTACGATTGGATACGTATCCTGTGAGTCCTGTGTATAGTATGATACGCCTCCGTATTGGGCCGTATCGCACCGTATTGATGGATATGGTCCGATACACACCGATATGGAGGTGTATCCGTGTTTAGTTTGACAAAATTGTACATTGAGTACTTTTGGATTGTTTTTCATCTTTAATACAAGTTAAAAAACAGTAGTATGAAAACTGAAATAAATAATTTAAGATTTAATTTTTCCAAGAAATTTAATAAAAACTAAAAAATATATTAATAATATATTTCATCTACCTTAGATGATTTATATATTTTATTTTACACATAATTATTTGTTAAAAATGAAAACATAGTTATTATTTGAAAAAATAGAGTTATTATATAAAAATTATAAATAAATAAATTTTCCCAACAAAATTAATGGAAAACAGAAAATTATAATTATACAAACTGAAACGAATAACTTAAGATTTAATTTTCCCAAAAAAATTAATAAAAACTGAAAATTAAATATAATTTATTTTATCTATCTTAAATGATTTATTTGTTTTATTTTACAATTATGTGTAAAATAAAACATTATATGTTAAAAACGAAAGCATATTTATTATTTAAAAAATAGTTATTATTTAAATAAAATACTAAATTAATAAATATACCCATAATTAATAAAAATTGAAAATTATAATTATAAAATTGAAAGAGTGATAATTATTGTACAATGTTTGAATGTTCTAGAGTCCCAGTATTGTTTGCTGTAATATTTTTCTTCATATAACCTATTGAAGTATGCATTTCACATGTGCTTATACCTTATTCGTAGATAATTCAGCTTTTGGTTTAGTATGATTAATGCATTTATGTGATTTGTATGAATTTCACTTGTGTATCCAAGCGTTTTTATATCTTTCATTCATATCCATGCATTTCCAAAGCGTATCCATATCCGTATCCGACTTATACGATATGATACCCGATACCGATACTTTGATCCTTGGTTACATTAATCCTATTCTGTCATTTTGCTCTGTTGAGTTCCATATTCATTGTAAGTTATGTGCTCTTAAAATCATTTTCACTACAATTCATGCCCTTTTTAGTCTGGCCCTAGCTATTCTAGATCCTTTAACTTATAATAGATTCCTTATTACTGGTTCTGTAGATGGTCTTCTCTTTCTCTATACGTGACCAAACCATCATAGTCTACTTTCCCTCAGTATATCACTTATTGGAGCTTCTCCGATGTTTCTTTGATTATGTTCATTTTTTATCTTATTGTTTGTAGTTTTCCCACTCATCCATCTCAACATTCATATTTTCTGCTACATTGATTTTTTGGACATATTGTTTCTTGATTGCCCAACACTCTGCTTGTAGAATGTTGCTGGCCTTATAATCATTTTTTTTTTAATTTTCTTTTAATGCAAGTAGTATTAGTAGAAATCACTGATTGCAGATTTAGTTGAATTTCTTGTGAAGGGAAAGAGGAGGAAGATGAAGATTTCAGCAGTAGAGAAGAAAAGAGGAGGAGAAAAGAATAGGAAGTCAACCAGGATTCTTAGATAAACCCTAGCCGCCAACCCCTCATTATAATTTATAGTTAACTTAAAGGATGAGATATTACAAGGATGCCCTTAGTAGG